ACTCCTGGGAATTTTTTTCTTTAAATCTAAGATAGGCGATACAGACCAAGGAGATCTATAAGTTTTATTTATTTACTTTTTTTTTGTGGAGGGTTATGGCTGCGGTTATTTTGAGAAGAAATCATAGAAAAAGATCGGCTGAAATAAAAGAGCACTCACGTTGCTTCCAGATGTTTAACTTAGACAGAGAGTTCTTGCCGAACGAAGAAATCAGTGCACAAAATGGCGGAGTAGAGAAAAGGGAGAAAGAATGTGGAATAAGCAGATAAGAAAGGAAATCCCGAAGGGAGAAGGCGAAAAGAAAGAAGAAAAAAAAAGAAGAAAGAAAGAAAAAGAAAGAGTGGGATAGTAGATAAAGGAAGGAAAAGAACGTTCGAGAAAATAAGGGAAAATGAAGGTAAAAAGAAAAAATGGGAAAGCAAAGGGAGGCTGTGCGAATGCTTCAATCCGGGTGTTTTTTTTTTTTTTTTTCTATGAAGGCGGGGATTGGATTACGTTTGAGAATCAAGCAGTCAAACTGGCACGTGATACAAAATAAGGGAACTCCTAGAATTCGACCCGTATGACGTCAAATCTATTTCTAACGAGAGTGGATTTATTTATTTTTATTTTTTTATGTTTTTTTAATTCTCTGCTTATTACGAATTTCTTTAACGCTCGGCTGACAAGACGTGATAGGAACTCTTACCCTTGTTAAAAACAGGGTGGGGACGTTTTACCGCTGAGCTGGGTTGCAAGTATAGTCAGGGCATCATCTAAAATCAAAATCAAAACTTTTCTACTCTTCTTCTTTTATGTGCTGTGCACCTTCAGAACGTAGGCGATCAGGGCTCTTCACATTTTCCTATCCCTTTTAGCTTTTAATAAGATTTGTCTTTTAGTATCTCCCAAACCCTGTTCTGCCACCCGTTTGCTCAAACTCATCATATACGTTACTCGTTGCTTTCCTCAGTCCCTATTTCCCTCGATCCGTCCCGTGAGTATCAGATTTCCCAAGTCCTCTTTCCACATTACGTGCCCCCATAAATTTCAACTGCCTCTTCAAGATGTTAAATATAAGTTTCATTTTGTTTCCATTCTCTCCAAAACCTCGTTATTGATCACATGTTCGGCCTATGATATACTCAGCATGGTCCTGTAGAATAATATTTCTGTTGCTTGAAGTCTCTTCCCAAAATTTGAGGAGATTGTCTAGCATTCGCTGCCATACAGGAGGACAGATATCACGTAACAGTTCAGTACCCTTTTCTTTGTTTCTCTTGCTTCAAGTCTTTTCTTCATCTTTGAGGAGATTGTCCATCATTCGCTGACATACAGGAGGACAGATATCACGTAATAGTTTAGTATTCTTTCTTTGTTTCTGTTGCCTCAAGTCTCTTTTTCATCTTTGAGGGGATTGTCCATCATTCGCTGACATACAGGAAGACAGATATCACGTACCAATTTAGTATTATTTCTTTGTTTCTGCTGGCTTAAGTCTCTTTTTCATCTTTGATGAGATTGACCATCATTCGCTGCCATACAGGAGGACATATATCACGTAACAGTTCAGTACTCTTTTCTTTGTTTCTCTTGCTTCAAGTCTCTTCTTTATCTTTGAGGAGATTGTCTAGCATTCGCTGCCATACAGGAGGACATATATCACGTAACAGTTCAGTACTCTTTTCTTTGTTTCTCTTGCTTCAAGTCTCTTCTTTATCTTTGAGGAGATTGTCTAGCATTCGCTGCCATACAGGAGGACAGATATCACGTAACAATTCAGTACCCTTTTCTTTGTTTCGATCATTAAAAAAACAATATCTGGAAGGATTCATTAAAAAAGGAAGAACATTTTAAGGGGCAAAAGTTCGCATTATGGCTTTAAAACGCGCTTAATAAATATTCTTCTATGTGCCGTGTCTTCTGTGGAAATGTGTGATCATGGCTCTCCACATCTTCCAGTTCTTGTAGCTCATAGTAAGGATTGTATTTTTGCTATTTCTAATTCATTTACAAAAGCTCGTTAATCCACTATTAATCATCTCGGATTTCCGAAAAAAATGGGAATCCCCATGCATTTGCCTTCTACAACAACTGAGCTACAACTGTGCCACACTTCGTGCTGCACACCCTCACTGAGTTAGGAGAGTTGTGGGAAGGAGAAAAAGAAACAGGCTGCCAACTAGAATTACGAATACTTTAACCTTTTTAGGGTAACAAAACACCCCATTATTTTGCTTATTTGTCATATTTTGATCGATATGTGCGCGAATTGTACTAAAACTTGACAAATGACAAGTCAAGCTACGAGAGAGAGTAGTGAATATTTGGCCAATGTAAGAATTTAACATGTCGATATTACTTAACAAAACGTGTTTGAAAGAATATATAATATATATATATATATATATATATATATATATATATATATATATATATGAATTTGTAGATCTGATAAATTGGATCGTAATTACGATTCCAATGTAATAAATTATGACCATGGACTATTAGTCTTTTATAT